AAAAAACACAATCGAATTTTTTAAATCAAATATGAGAAAGGATTTTGAATTTCAAATTATATTCAATAATCGAAATTTCTAGAACTTAATGGAACCAAATTCACCAATTTAGGCTGCAATGTGATTCACGATTTTCTGTTATCAAAAAAATTTCTTTTTGAAAATTAAATCAGTTTTTTCAGTGTCTTTTGTGTGTTTGTCGAGTCTGTGTTTGGTGTTTCGTTCTTTGTTTTTGTTTGGGAGATGAATTCAGGCTAGGCAATGTGCAGTGGTTCTTATGTTCATTTTCTTTTTTCATTTGGTTGAGTTCTCTAGGCCGCCATGTGCGTGTCCTCTCAGTTTGTTATTTCTGTTGTTTTTAGGAGTGTTTTTTGTTTGGGCTGTTGGCCCCTGTCTCATTACCCTGTTGGGGTCGTAGGTATTACCCCGTTGGGGCCATGTAATTTGTTTCCTTTTGCACTTTTGTGCTCTTTTATATTACCTCTATCGTTTCGGAAGATGTTAAAAACGCTTCAAATTGTTTGCAAATACTTAAGTTATTTTTATTGTTAAACCAGCCGTAATTTATTTTTATCAAAAAAAAAAATCTGCAATTTGGTAATCTTATTTCTATTAAAAAAAAATTAATTTGTGAAAATGAAAATCTTACAGCCTGTTCTTGTGCAAATAAAATATTGATGATCTCATAATTAGAGTAGCTTTGTGTTTTTTTATATATATAAAAAGAATACAATAAAAATATTGTATATTTTGATTATTAAATGAACTATAATTTATTTTTATTAAAAAAAAGCCTCCGATTAAAACAATTGTAGTAAGCGAGTTGATGTTAAAAAAAGTTTCTAATTTTTTGTAAATACTAACGTAAGTTTATATTATTAAATTATTGCGTATTTTTTTAATAAAATAAAATCTGCAATATGGTACACCGTACACATTATATGTTAAAGAAAGTTTTTTTTTTTTAATTTGTGAAAATGAAAAAGGAACAGCCTAACCGTGTGCAAAAATAAATAACAAACTCCACTTAACAAACTCCATTTAAATGCAAACAATTAATGCTGCACGTTTGTGAGTAAAAAAATAAAATAAAAACTTGCTATTAATAGCATGCAATTAATGCTCAACAATGTTTGACCAAAGTTTGACTTTCCATTTTTGAAAAATAGTAATTCTTATTATATATATAGGGAAATGCTCACATGTCCACAGTGAGCACATGTTAATATGCCCACCGTGGGCATGTAAGCATTTCCGTATATATATATAGATGACAAATGAAAATGCTATGGAGTCAAGTTGGCTCCGTTATGGAGCCAACTTGACTGAAAAACGGATTCTGAGAATCCGTTTTCAAATAAATTTAATTGAAAAACGGATTCTCAGAATCCGTTTTTCAGTCAAGTTGGCTCCATAACGGAGCCAACGGTTGGCTCCATAGCAGGACTGAGATGACAAAATTGGATGCTATGATTGGATTAAATTAATTTCTGACAAAGCATATTTATAGTTCCGTTGCTTTTACATTTCTATTAGATCTGCCTAATATATCACGTCTACTTAGATCAATTTCAAAGACGCGAAAATTAATTTCCAATCTTATTTATTGTACTTTATGAGATACTAGTACGTACTCCGTGCGCGATGCACGTGACATAAATATTAAATAAGTTATTTTCACATGCTTTGTCCGTTAATTATATAAAGCAATAGAGCTATCATCTATTTTTCACCTCCTTTAATTAGCGTTAAGTGTAATAAACAATAAGGTTACAATCTATTTTTAACCTCTTTTAGTCAGCGTTGTTTTTTTGGTCAAAACATTAAATATGAGCATGTTAGGGCTAGCTTGTAAAATAATTAATATATTATCTTACTAACACATTTATACTAATATAAATTTGATTTTACTATATATATTTATTCCTTGATATAAGAGAGAATAACAATTTTACTTATTCTTGTTCATCATATAATACTTAATTATTATTTTATTATAAACTTTATTGTCATATGATGTCATTATTATTTATAAAGTTATAGAAGTTGTACGTCTTCTTTTTCTTTTTATTTTATGTAATGAAAAATATTTAATCCACGTCAGGAATATTTATTTATGTAATCAATTTAAAATATGTAAACAAATTTAAAATTAAATAGTGTATAAATATTTTACAAAATATACACATGTTTTTTTAGAATTTCATAAATATTTTTGGATAAAAAGTGAATATTTGTGAAAAAAATTAATATTATGGTTAGAACTTAAAATATGGTGTAATATTTATCTTGACCAAAATATTATCAACATAGATCATAGAGATCAATCTTGTAATTTATTATAATGAATATCAATGAAAGTATTACAAATATTAATAAAATAATATTTATCTTGACCAAATTATTATCAACATGAATTACAGAAAACAAATCTTGTAATTTATTATAATGAATATCAATGATTATTAAAGTAATTTTTTTGAACATATCTTATTTGATCTTATTTTAAACGTGTATATAGAAGCAATTAATGCATATATTTAAAAAGTTTTCAAAAATGTTATGCATTAAATTTCTTAAATTTTTGGCTACTATTTTTAGTAAATGATAATTCTTATTATGTATATATATATATATATATATATATATATATATATATATATATGTATATATATAGATTGCCTTGTATGGAAGCATTACCATTGACAACTACAGAAAATGACTTTGATCTTTTGAGAGCGGGCACAAAAAAAATGAGAAAAGAATGCAAATTTTAATCAGTAATAAACTAATGACAATTAACACTGATTCAGTATATGACTGTGCTGTAAGGCTTAGCCCAAAAACTAATGACAAAGACTAGAGACGGAGACTTTGGGAATGTACATGTTATCCTTTCTTTAGAACTATGCGTGGCCCATTTTCTAGAGGCCCAAGCCAAATCTAAAAGGGTTAATTATACATTTAAGGTCCATTATCTCGTTTTATTAGATTTCTTCCAAGTTCCATCCAAATTCAGGAAATTTGAGACTCAAAATGCATTTCCTTAAATGAAAAACATTTATAATTTATTTATTTATTTATTGAGCCTAATTCGCTGAGATTTGCATTCATTATGTCTGGCGATTGAAATTGTGTTTCCTTGATAATATTATAATACTTGAAAGAGAGAAAGAAATTATGTCTAAAAAAATCTAAAAGTAATAATAATTTAATTAAATAACAATGAGTTTTTATCTGGAACTCTGGGACGGATTTAGCTTTGGCCTGGGCTGGGCTGAAGTCCGGGCCTGTTATTTTTTTTAAACAACTATAAGTTTGAGAAAAAATATTTGGTTTTTCCAGCTTAGCCCGATAAACCAACCAACTAATCCATCAAAATAATTCACTTATAGATTTAGGATATGTTTGGTAAAAACTAGCTGATAGTTTATTAGTAATTTTTTAACTTATAGCTTATATGATAAAAGTGTTTGGTAAAATTAACTGATAAGCTAGTTGGAGTAAAAAATTCAACTAGCTTATTTGAAATACTACATAAATAAGCTTATCAAATAAGTTCGAGCTTTTTAAAAAAATTCGTCCTACCAAACGAAGCTTATTTAAATACATGGAGCTTATAAGCTAACCAAATAGGCTATAAGCTAGCTTATTTGTCTACCAAACATATCATTAAGTTCAAAGATTGCAAACACGACTCTAATAAAATATTATATATTATTGCCCACCTTTTCCACTAGACACTAACCACAAAACACCACTATGGACCAAATTCCAATCAAATAAATTAGTCACGGTCATGCCCCTCCTGTGAACACCAGGACAATGAATTTAGATGGAAAAATACTATTCAACAAACAAGAGACTACTTTCAAGATTTAATTTCATCTTTAATAGTAAGTTATATTTTTAAACTCTCCCATTAGATATTTGTTTCATTTGTCTAATTGTCTTTATTTATTTTCTCATTTTAGATGAGTTATTTAGAGTTTTAATAGTAATTGCTAGGATCATTTAGTTGCAATTTTTATTTCGTTCATGGTGTATGAGTAGTAATTGTGTGTGTGTGTGTGTGTGTGTGTGTGTGTGTGTTTATTTCTTATCCTCTTGTGTTGTTGTTTTATATCATATTTGTATTTAAATTTATAATGCGTAGCCATTTCATTTTGCTAATAACTATAGAATATCAATTTATTTGTATTGTGAAATCTTTAGAAATTCACATGAAGCACCAACATTCGGTCAAGAAAGGAAACACCCCATTGATATCATCGTTCTTTAGAAAATGAATCGACGGGATCAACGTCAAACTAGTGAAAGCACATCAAATACGCTGTAAAATGAGCATAATGAATTTATTTGTAAAAGCTTGTCGAGCACAACTTCAATGAATATTTGAAGAAAAATATTATGTGATTTTTATTGAAATGAGTTTTTAAAAATTTAGGCCAATTTACTCTTAATTTCTGGATCCGTCCTGTATGAAGGGTCAGAATGCGTGGACTCGAATAGCCTAAATTGGTTTATTGGACCGGTATGTAATCAGACTAGTCAAACTCGGAATGACCTATGGACGAATGGCGAGGCATGACCCACCCATGCCCATTCACCAACCATTCTTTTTGTATTAAACACTTACAATTAATTATTTGAATTATTTCCTGAAATTTAAAATATGTGTATGTATATATGATGAGATGCACATATCCAATAAGATTTTAAAGTATAAGTTTTAGTTATAATCTATTTTTTTATTTTTTGTGTACATTTATAAGCAAAAAGTATGTATATAGTTTTAATTACCCAATTAATTAATTAACCACGATTCGTACTAGTGTATATGCATAATAATAGATGTTTTGAATATTGCTTAATAACATGTAAAACGAAAGATATAAGAAAAAAACTTCTAAATTGACCTTTATTCGTCGGAATCATTTTCCTTTGCGGTTTTGGCCGATCAAATCCCTTTTTCCTATTTTGCGCCGTCGGTAATCGCTATGAGCTGCGAAGTTTGCCAGCTCAAAGAACTCGCGAGTCCCTTTGCCTCTTTAAGATACGAGCTTTAATCTTATTTTGTACGTTATATATGTGTGCACGTTGAATTGGAAGTTGAAAGCTCTGATTTTTGTTTTTGTATCAGGATGTTGAGCACTCTCAGATTCGTGACATTCTCCGGTGTAAGATGAACTCCAATTCCTCATTTCTCGATCTCATTTTACTCCTTTTTTACCAAATTGTTTATTCTTGGATTTTGGTGGTAACTACTTGCCTACTTGGTCGTGTAAATGAAGGGATATGCCATTGATTGTGAGTTTCTTTGGATTAATTTTTACCTTTCAATCAAATTTCTTTTGGGTTTTAGTTATGTAGTGTGATCAGTATTTGTGAGAAAAACAGAACCCATATTGATATTTTCCTTTTCCTCCTTGTTTAGGGCATTTCACAAAAAGAAATAGTTTGAGATTTATGCTAATATGGTGAAGGTTTTCTTCCAGGCATTCTACACACTATTTTGTTCCACAGGGCTTTAGGGCTAGTGCGCCCCAAACATATTGATTTGGAGCTCTTTGATATTACATATGTAGGTGCTTTGCAGTTTCATAAAGTGCTTGTAGATTGGGTTTTCTCTGAGATTCCTGCAGTTCCTTGCTGAATAAACTATTTTTTTCTGATCTTCGTGCTACTAAACTATTCTCTTGATATGCTAAAGTTCCTTTTATTCCGAAATGCCTATATATCTCATTTAAAGCTTTGATGCGATTTCATAGCTTCTTTTGATGGGGTGTTTAGTACTCGTTTGCATAAAGTCAAAAACTTGGAAGTTTAAAGATTTTTTTTTAAAATGATTATTTAAGTCTCCACAAATTTGAAGCTTGAATCATTGATCGACTTCCATCACCTGTTTGAGAGGCCATTTTAATCTACCTGTCACCTCCCATCTGATATATCTTGTGCAGGTACAGTGTGGTGATGTGGAACTCGAGCGGAAAATAGATGAGAAGATAGACCAATTTATAGACAGGGTGGAAAAGCACCCGAACAAGAAAAACCAGGGCCACAGTTTGCTAAATCTTTTCCACGTTTAATAGCTATTAGATAGATTTTTATTGTCCACCGAATTTCTGTGTCATTTTTTATCTTTTCTTGATATTGTGTTCTTTATACAGATTTTTTCTTAATGGGTGTGTAGTGATGCAGATGTGTCTATCCTTCTACGAGGTGAAAAACAAACAAGCTACATGGTTCACTAACAAAGTCGAGCGCCTCTACTTAGAACTATGGTACATAAAATTGAACGTGGGAGGCGCACCACCACCACCCCTGCCCATTATCTTAAAATAGTTTACGACGAACATTTTTTTCGGACTTTTATTTAATTTTAGTTTATTATTGACGTCTGCACCCTTTGAATATGTTCCTTGCTTCGTCCTTTCTTCTAGTTGTGGGTGTTACTAGACTTTATTATGAACCTGGAATGGCTGGTTAAAGATTTTGAAAGATTGTATATATATATATTTTACAGAATCTGCAAAGTTGCAGCGTTCAGATTAAAAAAATGAAAAACCCTAGGTGCAAATATCGGCCAAGTTTCGGTCAATTGATAGATCCTTTTGTGCTTCTAGAAAGAATGATAGTGCCTATTTGATGTCAAGTATGTTAATATATGAAAAAAGAAAAGCTGAGAGTTATAATTTGATGTCTTTTTGCATTTTCAGTTTATCAGATTCAGCATTCGGGATGGACATGTTCAAGAGGATGCTCCAAACTGGGCACCCAACTATGCTTAGCTGAATCACGAAGCAGAAAAATAACATTCAGCCATGTATAAATCTCTTTTTTCTTGGTTCTTGTTTGNTCTTGCTGACAGAAGTGTGTAATAACAGTGACCTTCGGTCAGACATCTGTCTGCCAACGATGTTATTAATGTTGAATTAATTCACGAACCTCATTATCCTCTTATGAAACAGACGATTAAAATGTGAGCAGCGATGGACCGCAAGGCAATCACGAATATGATAAGTTAGGGGTCTTGATTTTTCCCATCAGTTTCAGTAATTACACAATAATTTAATACACCTAATTTGTTTGTTGAGGTTGCCTGCAATTTGATGATGTACACATTGGTTAGGTTAGTGTTAGTTCATTAATGCATTAATGGATAAAAAAACTATTCTGCCATTAACTAATGAGGTCATGTCCATATTTTGGATCAATAAAATTGAAAATGGTAAGTGCGGGATTTATTTAGCTTTTTTTTTTTTTCTCAACGCATTTTGCACCGGTCGAATAAGAATAAGTTGGTTTGTTTTATAGAAATAAATGCATTAATGAACTACTATTCCTATGGACACCAAATCATAATTACGGCCCAAGTGTAATTTATTCAACGTATATTCAAATTTTATTAATTCTAAAACATCACATTTTAGTAAAGAATAATGAAAGATATGATATTCTAAAGTATTAATTAATATGATTTTTAGTAAAAAAATTGAATCGATCTTTTAGATACTTAAATATTTTGAGAAATTTATTATTATTTTTATTTAGAAAATTAATCGAACTTTAATTCATAGATTAAATAGTTAATTAATTTATTAGTATATAGTGTTTGTCAATTGCTAAATGTCACATGTATACTCTCGATGTCAATTAAAGAATGTCACATATCATTTTCTTAAATAATAAAATAAATTATTATTTCTTTTACTAATTATTATTAAAGAGATATATATTAAAAATAAATGTGATCACCTCTTTTAATAATTATTATTAAGGAGATAAATATTGAAAATTAATAGACCACTCAAATTGATGCTTTCTTTTCCAAGACACTTTGTTCTACAACTATAAATATAGGTTATTCTCAATCAATTAAGGAACACAAGTCCACAAATTCAAGTTTCTTTTTTCTCCATAAAAAAGAAAAAATTACAAACTAGAAATCATATAAAATAACTACAAAGATTAATCTAGGAGAACTACGCGTCGCAGCCTAAATTTGAAGATGTAAACCCACACGAAATTAAAGCTAAACAAACCTAACTACCACATGGAAAAATCAAGCACTCCAACGATAGAGNCCTAACTACCACATGGGAAGAATCAAACACTCCAACTATAGAGAATAACAAAACACAAAACAAACCACACTAAAAAAACGCAAAGCAAACACTAAAATACGAGAAATGCTATATAATCAACCTAGTGTACAACTAGGTTGACAACACAAGTAAAAAATATCCACAATAATAAAAATAAAAAAATACACAAGTGGATGTTTCCACTTGTGTTGTCAACTTAGTTGTACACTAAGTTGGCTATGTATCATTTTTCCTAAAACACCAACTATAGTATAATAAACCATCCACATCTCTCGAACAACTAGGCACTGCAACAACTACTTCACACCAAATATTTGAAAATAAAATAGCAACCCAAGCCGTGAAAAATCGCAATCAAGGAAAGAAGATTTGAGAACTCCGAAGCAACACTACTCAAGTTGAAGAGAAGAATTCCTAACAAGAAGACATAAGAACTCCTCTGTACTCAACCAAGTAAAATTCAAGGAGATATGAGAAGATCAAAGCAAAGGTTCAAGCAATTCATCGCCAATTTCCGTCAAGAATTAGAGCATGTTTGTTTATTAAAATTTTTAAAAAAAATTCTAATATTTTAATTCAACCATTTTTTTTTTAACTCAACTTTAACTCAACACACTATCATCAATATTATCAATATAGTTAAATAATATCAATCAATTATTCATACACATCACATCAACCTTAATTCACTATTCATCCACTCACATTATTTTAACTAACCATCACTTCAAATCATCGCTCTTCTACTTTTACATCAAATCAATTTTAATTATTTTATTTTAATATACCAACTAACAACTAACCATACCACATTCTTCAAAACTAACCAAATCAAACTAAAAAATCCAAACAAAACCCAAAATTTCCATAAACAAACATGCTGTGCTTAATTCAATATCAGGCCTGAAAACCTAAAGGCGTGTTTGTATACAAATATATCCGCTCACAACGAGTTTTTTTGATTTATTATGGTTAATTTTGAAAAAGTTTGTATAGTAAGTTGTTAGTGGGATTTTGAGTTTATATTAAAATAATTATCTAAATAAAATAATTAAAGTTAATTTGATGTAAAAGCATAAGAGAAATGATGTGAAGTGATGATTAGTTAAAATTATGTGAGTGAGTGAAGACTGAATTAAAGTTCATGTGATATGTAAAAATGATTGATATTATTTAATTATATTGATAATATTGAGGATTATGATGTTAGATGAAAGTTGATATAGATTTCGAGTATGAATTTTATATGGGTTGAGATAATTGATAAACAAACAAACACACGAAGGTTTGATATAAAAGCGTTGCTATGTAATTTGCAGAGATGATGACGTAGTGGACGAGGAATTTCAGGCGTACAACATAGAGAAGAGCCCACCAGATGACGTAATGACCATTGCTGGTGCTGGTCATATGGTCATGCTTACAAAACCACAGGAGTTGTGTCTTTGCTTGCTGGAGTTAGCAGAGAAATATGATTAGTGCGTATAAATAAAAAAAAAATAGTGTTTTTAGTTCATGGTTAGTTGCATATTTTTTTGCATGAACTTGTTGTCTTCTGTTGTTCAGCTCTTACTAGCATAGAGTATGCTTTATCAACCTCAGGTAAGGCTCCATTAGAAGGATCTGTGACCTTACTGGTTCATAGGTGTTATGTAGATCCATAAGAAACTGCAACAATTTCGTCTGATTCTCATTTTCAATCACATTTTTTCCAATTGTACAAGCACAGATAGTAGGATTTTTCAGATTCTCATATTGATCCCAAAGTCGTCTGATCCGAGAGAAATACTCGACTGTACTATCCTGACCTTGATTGATACTAGCAATTTCCCTTTGGAGCTTATACAAAAGCGGACCATTGCTTTGTCCATATCTCCTCGCTATAGTTTCACAAAGCTCTCTAGAACTATTCACATATACAAAACTCTCAACTATATCCTTAGACAAAGTGTTCAAAATCCATGAAGTGATCATATAATCCGTTTTCTTCCAGATCTCATAGTTTTCATCATTTTCATCGGGCGCAAAGATCTTACCATTAACGAATCCCAGCTTAGATTTAGCTCTTAGTGCGATCGTCATCGCTTTGTGCCATGAAAGGTAATTACCCGTGAGATACCATGTAAAATGGGGAACAGAAAAATATCTGGAAATCTCTAATATTCTCTCATTACCCGTGAGAGTTACCTTTTGCACACAATATATAGTCTTGTTACAGTGCCAAAATGAAGAAGACAAAAGAGAAAAACCTCAGCCGTACACGTGGCTGAGATCTAAAGAAAAGCTTAAAATAAAAGAAACGAGAGAAGTGCGTCTTAACAAGTGAAACACGACTTAAGAACAAAAATAAAGAGAACAAGAAAATAAAAGAAGAATGAGATAAACTGCCGATGTGTGCTTCAATCTTCAACAGGTAACATACTAGTTGGTTACCTGTTGAAGATTCAACAGGTAACATACTAGTTGGTCATTTTGAAGCAGTGGAATTGGACGGTATTTGGAGATATTTCTCAGCGTCTTGCTGCGGCTCAGAGTGCGTATGCGGTTGCTGAGCGAGCCTATGATCTGGATTCATCACCAGAGAATAGGACCGCGATGCGCCGCTGCCATGCTGAGTACCAACTCCGCCTCCTTATAGAGGAGGATTTCTAGAAGCAGAAGGCTGCAGTTCGATGGGTTGCAGAGGGGGAACGTAATACTAAGTACTTTCAGGGGTTTGTGAGGCAGAAGCGGGTTAAGTCGTATATCCATTGTATTGAGGATAACGGGTCTTCTTTGACTCAGGAGTCCCAGATACGGGAGTCGGCTGTGACACACTTCCAGTCCCTTTTCACCTCAGATCGCGGCTTGCTTACGCCCCCGAACGCTTCCTTTTTCCCCATTATCCCACAGTCGGTCGACCCTGTTGACCTCTGCGACCTCCCGAATAGGGAGGAGATCAGGGAGACTGTTTTTAGGATTGATCCCAACGGTGTCTCTGGCCCGGATGGCTTCTCGTCTCTCTTCTTTAAGGTCTGCTGGGAGATTGTGGAGACTGACGTCGAGGAAGCTGTGGTGGACTTCTTCTCGGGACACCAAATGCCGAAGTCCTTCACAGCGACCTCTATTGTTTTGATATCAAAAAGACCTAACTCGAGTTCCTGGACCGACTATAGACCTATCAGCCTTTGTAATGTCACCAACAAAATCATCTCCAAGGTCGTCTAGCACCCCTCCTCCCATCCCTAGTCTCTCTGAACCAGAGTGAATTCATCAAAGATCGAGTCATCAGTGATAACATCCTTTTGGCCCAAAAGATGATCCATGACATCTCCCATGCGAACCAGTTAAGATCACCGAAACTTGTGCTAAAGCTAGATATGGCTAAAGCATATGATAGGGTCGAATGGCCATTCCTTAGTGAGGTTCTGTTTCGGATGGGCTTCCCTGAGCGTTGGATTAGCTTTGTGGAGGCGTGCGTGGAGCACTGCAAGTTCTCGGTACTTCTTAATGGTAGCCCTATTGACTTCTTTCCTTCCACCCGGGGTCTTCTGCAGGGAGACCCTTTATCCCCTTCTCTTTTCGTCCTGGTAGCGGATTACCTGTCTCGTTGCCTTGACGGCTTCATTCGCGATTTCCCGAGGATGACCTATAGCACACGTGGTTATGGTCCTCTCATCTCGCACCTCTCTTATGTGGAAGACATTA